ATAACCAGGAGTTTTATTAGTTATCTGAAGCAAATCGACTATGCCTTAGAAAAGGTAGCTGGCACGGAACCAGTCCATGAATTACTCAATGAGTATGCTGGAATCAGCACAGAGTTTATAGGTAATACACTTGTAGTAGAATGGTTTTGAGCTGCAATTAGTGATCGGCTTTGACAAAGTTTAAGCTGACCCAATATCGAAAGTGTTGGATACTCCGGTAAAGTAGAGGCTACCGACAAATAATCAAGTTATTTGCAAGCAGCTTTCAAAGTTCATAACCTCTGAAAGTACCGAAGACTGAAATCTATTTACTGAATAATGTATATGGAGCCTGTGAAAATTAAGGGGCAAAGAAAACATTAAGAGCAAATTGCCCGCTCGCAAGGTTTAGCCAGATAGTAAGCCAAACATCTGTTGGTTAGCAGCGATACCAAACTTTCACTGTAAAATTTTATGCGCGATAAATTTCTGTTTTGATTAGTGATGTTCAAGTTTCGGTTAGAGTTTCCAGCCTTCCTCAGCCAAATAATAAAACTGACGAATGTTTCATTACTGCTGGAAACAGTGATTATAATTTTTTACCTGACCGAACCCAACCATATGACTTATCATCATGAGATGGAAGATCTCTCCGGTTCAACAGTTGTTGCGTACCCATAAATCCAAACTAAACAGTTTAAAGAACTGTAAGACAAAAGCCCGTTTCAAAAATTGATATTCTTTAACTTAAATCGAAAATCAGCACCTAGATCTCCTTTGAAGACCGTGTACTGCTCTGCAAAGCGCATTTTCTTCGCATATCCGTTTCATCTAAACTTGAAAAACTGTAACACGGACAGTGGAAGCTGCAATGTCAAGGGTTTTCGAATTATCGAATAAGAAACTGGTTATTTTGACAAAATACTCGCTGCATACTCATGCGAAGCGCTGATGTTTGTTGAGCTATGAAAGCTTCAAACAGAAGTTTTCAAATCTGTATGGAAGTCTGAGTCAAAGTGACCACAGTTGTTAATGAGAGCACATGAGCACAACTCCAAAGGTTATAAAAGTGCTTGGAAAGGAGATAGGCTGGTTTGTTTTCTTGACGCGCGTGTGTTTGTGTCTTTACCATACATAACAAACCTTCAAGTTGCTTAAGACTCTTGATTTCAGCTTATCTCAACACTTCACATTGTGATATTAGGAACCGTCTACTGTGCCGACGAAGGAAAGATTCCTCATTGGTACCAGATCTCCATTTAGTCTCTTCTGACTAATAATCAGCTGGAAGCTGATCTTTCGCTGACCATCTTTCGCTGACCATGTTTCTAAACTGTGCAGTTGTCGAGCCAGCGAAGCTTAGTCTTTTGCTTGAAAGTGGTCAACCATGCCAACCTTCGGTATCTGAGCAACTCGTATACTGTTTTGAGGTCAACCAATGCAAGAACATTGTACCTGTGGATTTTCAGCATGTTTTGCAACTGGAAGCTGTCCAATCGATGCTCCTTTGCCTTGGTACGGGCAGCGCTGTAAAGTCGGATCTTGACGGAGATTGCAATTCCTTGTTCAGTTCAGACTTTCTACAAGCATCTGAACATAAACGAAACCGACAGAGTCCTCCTTTTTACTTCGTTGTCTCAGTTACCGTCGTTGGAGATGGCGGCGCCGAGGCATTTAAACAGCTGGAATTCTTCGATAGCTCTGTTTCCATGGCCCACCGTCGGTTCTACGGTAATGACTGTACTTCTAATCGCCTTTGCCTTTATAGGGTTCAGGTGGAGGCCCGCTTTTGCTGCAATGGAGCACACTGCTTTATTCATCGAACAAATGCTTTCATCGCTGTCGTCAAGTACGGCGATTTCATTTCAGTACTCTACGTCGGTTAGATATCTGGCCGGATACCTCAAACTTCGCTTCAGTTCCAGCAGGAGGTCATCCACCTATTGCCGTTCAGCGGAGTTTCGTAGAATGAGATCACCACTATACTGAACAGCTAAGGAGAAGGAATACATCGCCCTGTTTAATGCCTTTTTTTTATCTCGAACCAGTCCAAATTCCGCCATTCCACTTGCAAAGTTCAGATCATTTCATCATACATCCTTTTCATGATGGCACTGATTTGCTCTGGAATACCAAAGCTGGCACCATCCTTTAGATTGTTGGAAAGGGAATGGATCAAATGCGGCGCAAAAATCTATGAAGGTGACGTACAAAGGTAACAGAAATTGACTATATCATTCGATGATCCATCATAGCGAAGAATCTGTCGGTACGCGAGAGCTCTGTTCGAGAGCTTGCTTGGTTTACTCGAAGATTCATTTCAACCATCAGCCCTAACCGTTCCAGGATTACCATCGAAAATATCTTTCCGGTGTAGACGGTAGTTTAATCCTGCAACAGTTCGAATGGCGGGTGTTGTCTCGACCTATGTGAATGGAGACTATGATTCCCTTCTTCTAATCATCTCAGAATTTATTTTCCGTTACCGTCAACGTTCAGTCAATTTCCAGTTGACCGAGAGTTCAATAGGTTTTCACAATGTTCAGCCAATCGCTTCAGATGGCTATCCTTGTCTGGCAACGGTTTGACCTGTGCATCACTGACCAGTTCAATGCTTGGCTCGCTCTGATATTTCTCGTATTGTTCGAACAACGGAACGCCAGTCGCTCTCACTCGCTGCGGTTTTCAACTTACTAGACTCTGAAAATAGTTATACCTATTTGTCCCTAAAGAATCTTTCATTTTCCTCCTTGATAAGACCTCGGTGGGACATCCTTAACTCAGCGTTTGCAGTTCCAGGATTAAGGTTTCAGGTGTATTCCCCTATGTCCTCAAAGCAATAATTTCTGTGGACACCCATCTTTTCCTTTCCTACACCTTTCTTCTGAGCCCAATGATTTTCTTGGTTCCGTTGATAAGGAATTAGCCAAACTCCTTCTATTAGTCATCAATACTTATCTGGCACGCATACACATTAAAAATAATGATATCTGATTGAAACGGCGAAAATGCGCAGTGTAATGAAAGAAAAATCGACTTTTCACTTTACACCTGCGGCACCATTTCAACTACCTGGCTTTTGTCATTTCCGGGCAGTTCTTGTTGGAGCGAAACTCTGACTATTGCCGACTTCAGCTTCTCTGCATCACTGAAGTCACCCTCCTCTGATGAGGGGGACAATCTTTCTCTTTTCTAAGTGCATGGTTCAGGAACTCAAACGTAGAACATAGACTAAGAAGTTTTACTAACAGACGACGTATTTCGTTACAGACACCCTAAGATACGGTAAATAAGATTTTGTCCCCGCGCCGCAGCTGCTGGACACGAATTTTCACCTTATGCCAGACATGCACAAGCGTGGCAAATATGCAGGAAAAATAAACGATTATTTTATAGATTGAAAGAAAGCTTACGCACGGTACTTTTACCAAAATAATGCATGTCGTTGAAAGATCATGGCAGGATTAGGACTAGCACGCAACTCGAATCGACCAATTTCAAACTCATATTTTAATACACGGCAGGCACGATACCGAAGTGAGCATTACTTTCTTTAATGGTGTGCGTCGTCTTCTTTCTAGATGACAACTTTCATAAACTTGACCAGTAATTTTAAAGCGAAGAAAGTCACGATAAAAAGGGAAGTATGGAGAATTCTACTACTGCTATGACCATGTAAAGTTTGTTTCCCTTAATTATGACTCAAACATGTACTTGATGAGTTCGCCGTTTCATGTGGGCACACGGTGATAAGGTTCAGACTTAACACAGTCAACGCTCCAATATTCTAAAAGAGAGACGCTGAGCATCCCTCATGCATTGTTGGTGTCTAAATAAAATAGGTGAAAAAATGCTTCACATTTCGTACTTGCATTTAAATCGATTGTGCATACAGCGTTAAAGTAGCCACCTAAAGTAGCCAAATGAGCTTAGTAACGCTGTAAGCACCATTACCGCACGTAGCGTTCCGCCTTTCATCTCCAGGACCTTCAGAGATTCGGAAGAGCAGAGACAAATCATTGTCCAACCGCCTCGCGTTACAGCGTTCATAGTGACAAATTGTTTACTGTTTTTGCTCAAAACACCGGCATGCAACCACCACTTTGTGTTGAAAACAACTGTTGTCCAAGCGAATAAACATACCTTTTAAAATCCAGCTCAATCCTTATTTTATAGCAGTGGAAGTGTTAAACATAAATACGAAGTCATATTCTTTATATTTGCTTATCTACTGCCCAATCATATGATTGGAGTTCTTTATATCAAAGTGTGAGAATATGCTACTGTGGATCAGTATTAAAATGCTGTAAATAATATTCTTCATCTATTGTCACTCATGCCGTGAAGTCATGACTGGAGATATATGAGACTTCAACGCTTTGATCAAATCATGGAGCCATGTGACGCTACTTTAAGTCACGTACATTCATTCATTTGCTTTTTCTCTCTCTCTCGTGAATTAACATAGAAGATAAAGTGGAATTAAGTCTAAGATAGTGTTTCGTCAAGCTATTGTGATTACAATGACTTATTTCAATTTTTTCTCCTTGTTTTGTTGATTTAATGACTCTCAACATAATGTTTCTACTCTGATCGTGTTATTTTTGAGCAAAATAATTTCGGCGATGCTCAGGGCACAAAGTCTTGTTTATTTGAATGTTTAAATGAATATCACTTTAAATGCAGCCAACATTCTTGAAATAACACCGGAGACTTGAAAAATGTAAGTATGGTACGAAAATCTTTAGTCGTGTAGAAAATAATATGCTTTATTTTTCGATAATATAATTACAATCTTAGAGAGGTAGCAGTGTAGCACTACGATAACAATTACGTTAGCAAAGGATTTTATTCTAAAACTAACCTGCAGACATAAAGCATTCTACCATATTGTGGAGTACTGTACGCCGTAAACCGAGAGAAATACTCATCAGGCGTAGGCCTGCTGTATATTCTTTATTGGAAATTGTACAGTTAGCAGCTGATCTGCTAGAACACTTTATACACTTAACCATATCCAAATGACCGCTAGTGCACTTCAAGTACGTGGAGATGTGTTCTTGAACGTTAGTCCTATTATTTGTTATAGAAAGCGATCGACTTGGTTACAAAGGCGACAGAGGAGGACAAGAAGAATAATTATGACGAGGCGCTGCACCTCTACGAGCATGCGGTCGAGTACTTTCTACATGCGATAAAATGTAAGCGCTGCTTTTCTATTCTCGTTTCGGTTTGCAGTTAGCTGTTTGATTTGATAGACGAGGCCCAAGGCGACAAGCAAAAAGAGACCATCAGAGCTAAGTGTATTCAGTATCTGGACAGAGCAGAAAAGCTCAAAGAGTACTTGAAGACTGGGAAGCACAAGAAGCCTATCAAAGCCGAGAGTGAAAAGTCAGTGAACCTGTTAGTTCTTAAGTGATTGCATGTTATCGTAACGAAATCACGGTTAGATATATGATTTCTTGCTTAATATGTGCTAATGATGAACAGTCGAAGGTGACAATAAACAGCTGCTTTGTCTTGGAGCGTAACAGAGCAATAGTATTTATACCTTATATTTAAACACTTGACACATGCTTAACGTTTACACGTTATGTTGATTATCGAAGTGGAGAGTCGACTGTTGTGAGTCAGGGCGATTTGCAGCCTTAAGAGGAGCTCGCATCGGACAGCTTAGCCTTACGTCTCGCTCATTTTGGTGTGAAAATGCCGGAACACCATGCTTACTCTGCTGGTCGCATCTAAGCGACTTGCAACCTGTTTTATGACTGACTTCTGTGAAGCACAGTGGGTGAATTGCTTGCTCAGAGTAACTGGTGGTTGGTTCAGAGAATTTGCTTCTTTTACGAAACTTAGAAGCCGACCTCATATCACTGTGCCTTCCCCTCTTTCCCCATAAAAGTTTAGGGCAGATTCAGTTAACAGCCGATTTTCTTCTGGTGCATTATGAAGATCCGCCGATTTTATGGAAGATAGTTATCATTGGCGGAATATCGTTGTTGTACTTATTCTAATCCTCGCAATACCTTAAAGAACTGAGCATTATTGTATTGTTCACGTTTTTTGTACATGAAGTCGTTCGTTATGGTTACTGAAGATGTTGAACAGAGAGGTCGAAAGCACATGTTTTACTTCACATATTCTGCACCGTTTTGTTTACCACCGCAGTGTCTCGTATATCACAAGTGATATCTGTTCAACTGTTTGACCTCACCTCTAAACTCATTTAAAGCGTACATATGGATTTTAATCTTTGTAAACTTATGGCGCGAGAGTTGGCATTCAGATCAACCAAATTATAAACGACCATTCATCAAAAAATGTTAAAAAAAACGAAAGTAAATAAGTGTTAAGGTTCTGGGATAAATTTAAAAATTGTCTGATGAAAATATTCTTCGTTTTGGCATAATCCTCATATATTCATGTACTGTTTAAAGGTAGGAGGTATAATGAAATGATTTCACAAATATCCTTCTCCTAGGAATTGCCTGATGAAGCGTAGGTCTTTCATCCTCAGTTATCACTGCTTTATTTGATGCAGATTTCAGCGTTTTAACTTACCTTAATGACTGTCATGGTGACCAAGGGAATGTATAGTCCATACCGTCTTGTGATACCGTACTTTAATTGTCATTCAGCTTTTCAGGCAATATTGCCAAAGAAGGATTATTGAGTATCATGCTAGCACTAATTCATTTCCTTGTAATAGTGATTTCTTCCTCGGATTCAACGTTCGTTGAGACATATCGACTACCTCAACTTTATGAAACGTTGACCTTACCTCGTACTTTAGTGGAATCTGAATATCAGATCACCAACATCAGCTTTGTCAGCCATAGTCACGTGCTGGATGAAGGCATCTCCAGTACTTCACCATAATCCTCTGTTTTCTGCCATTTTCATCCATCTTAATCTAACAGTTTTCAGCACATCGTGCCGTCGATCTGGAGAGTCTTTCTACGGGCTGTTTACTCTATCTAATGTTTCACTGATTCAGTGATGAGCGGTTGTTCTTTCAGCATGCCCTGCCCATCGCCATTTTAATTACTATACTCAAGTAAGGATATCGCTAACTCCTGTTCGTGCTCTTATCCATTCATTCGCTAGTCTTACAGTACACCATTCCATGCGTCGTTGCACTGTCTAACGTTCATGAGCAACTTTCAGGTATAAGGTTCACCTGCAAGTTATGGGTTAGTAGTAGGAGCATACAGCGATCGAAAAATTTACCCTCGAAGTTCAAGGGCAGTTTACTGGATAGGAACATTTTGAGTTTCCTGAAGTGCTCAGTGATATTTTTTATTCTTCTGCATAGTTCTGCATTTCAGTGTCAGCTATCCCAGGTGGGCATAGTTAGGTACTTCTTCAAATCCGGCTCCGTTGATTTCGACAGGTCTCTGGGATTTGTTAAATTTGAAAGGATTTGTTAAATTCTATTTGTTAAACATGATTTGAGTCTTATTCAAATTCATTTTCAACCTGACTTTGATATATCGTTTGGTTATTGACTTGTTCTTTCTAGTTATTCT